TCGTTCTCTTTGGTAGATCTCCAAGCTTTAACTTACTTAGCGATCTCAAAGGCTGTTGTAGAGACTTAAGACGTTTAGCAAGACGAAACATGGCTGATGTTGAATAAAACAGAGCTTCCAGATCTTTCCAATAATCCTCTACCATCTACCATTGGGTATAAATTCTGGCCTTTTTTCAATAACATTTGTAAAACGGCCTTCTCTTTTTCTCCTCCTCCCTCTCAAACTGAATCCTAAATCTTAGATGATCTAAGCACCCCCCTCCCCCCCCCCCCGCTTCAAATACACAGTAAGCTTTCGACTTATTTAACCACTCTTCATTAATCAAAACTCTGTCAACCTCTTACAGATCAACCTCGCTTCTCTTTTATTACACCAAGTGAATAATGGACCTTGATATCCCATGTCAGTCAATCTGCAGAAACTTGTCACCTCCTGAAACTCTCTCATTCCAGTAGGTATCCTTGATGTGTTTTTAAACTCTGAATGTTCTTTACCTTCAAGAATCTTATTATAGTCACCCATTATAGCTGACCTCTTATTTTTAAACATTGGCGCCTCATGATGACTTGTAATATCCTCCCACAGACTCCTTCTCTCTTCTACCGTATTCAAAGCATAAATAAATGAACATAAAAACTCTTCAGACTTCCCCGGTAACAGAACTGGACAAGTAATCAGTTGATTACTCTTATACACCGGTGTCATTCTCACAAATGACTTTCAAATCACCCATAAACTTCCCAACTTGTTATGCTCATAATTGAACATAAAATCTCAATCCTGAAACACACTAGACACAACCTTCTCAACCTTGTTCTCCTTTACTCTAGTTTCGATTAGGCAGGCATCCAAATAGAAATTTTTGGTTTCTCACCCAACTTCGAATCACTTCATGCTTAGTTGTTTTGTTAAATCCTCTCATATTTCAAAAGAATCCCGCCATTTGAGATTTTTATTAGAACCCTTTTCTGGAACCACTCGATGGTGTCTTTCATTGCCTATGAAGAGTTTGTGTTGCTCATCGTCTTCTATTGTCCTTCATTTTTGTTCAATACTTTCCTCGATCCTTTTTTGATATAAATCTTATGCTTCCTCAATCCGTATCTCCTCTTTGCCTATATCATCCCCATTTTCATCTGCATTACTTAAAGCAACAAACTGTGACGGCGTAGCAATTGTCACTTGACCATATTTCAGATCTTGTGACTTTGGACTTCTTCATTGTTTCTCCATATACACTCTTCTCCATTTATTTATTTGACCTTCTTCCAGTTCCTTTTCAGTTGTACATTCTTCACATCTTTCCCTTTTCTTACTGCACTACTCGTTATCTTTATTCTCTCTTCTTGACTCTACCTCCACGGTAAATTCTTCTCTTTTTTCACTCTCATGTAGTGCCAATTTTTGGTTATTAAGATCCTTCTACGGTGTTTCCATAATCTTCTTCTCCACTTCAACCTATTTTTATTATCTTTGCAAAACGTCTCGTAATGGCCCCATCATCCACAGTTAAAACACTTCGGTGATAACCAAGGGTAATTGAATTGAACCGTTTTTTTCTTTCCCTTGAATGGTGTAGTTTATATTCTCCAGTAACTCCTTAGTCAAGTTCACCGTTACAAACACCTTTGCAAATTCGAAATTCATACAAGCTATTGTCTCTGAATGCAAATGATTCGGGACTCCTGCGGCGCTTGTTATCAAGCTCAGTCCCTCCCAAGAATACATGCTCATAGGAACATTAGTCACATGTACTAATGCAGCGCAAACCCGTGATAACAATGGATCACGTATAAACCGACATCATTACCATATTTCCTTTTTATAAGTTTTGTTTTCTTTCCATTTTTTATCTTATGCAATACTTATTAGGGTAAGGATTTTGCAAATACTTTTAGGTTTAGGAATCGTTTGGGTCTTATATAAGGGCGACGCATTCAAGATTCAGAACATAATTTGATTAGTAAAAGTAATTCAGCTTTCTTAAGAGCTTCTAAACAAGCTCTGCGAAGAGTATTCACAATTCTAAGAGTTTAACGAGCACTGCGAAGAGTATTCGCGCCAAGATCTTTGTTTTTAAAGTTACCTTCGTCAACAAGTTACCGAGTTCAAGATCAAAACCCTTGATCTTTGACTTATATAGCTTCAGCTCTCTATCAGTTGGTATCAGAACCAGAACGCTCTTAGTCTTCCATCTCTCGTTACGATGACAAAAAAAACTACAGAAGGAACCGCTACGAACATCACTGATTTACGAACCCTAATGGCTGAGATGCAAGCCGCCTTCGCCACCACCATTCAAGCATCCATGCAGACCTCAATACAACAATTGTGTGAATCATTGACGACTCGTTTGGACACCATGAACACATTACTCACTCGCATGGATCCTCAGAACTAGCAACTGGCCACTAGGAATGACCTTCCGCCAAATCAACAACCCCTTCACTATCAACCACAACGCCAACAACAATCACTCCCACCCATCCATCAACATCCTCGTCAACACCAACAACACTTTCAACATCAACACCAGCTTGGAAATGATAGAGTTTGTGACATGTACAAAGAAGAGGAGGAAGATCATAGACAAGTGTACCGTGAGGATTTACGTCAATGGGATATTATGCATAATCGATGGGGGAACAATTTTAAGGTTGACATACCTGAGTTTCATGGAGGCCTTAAAGGTGATGATCTCATTGACTGGTTGATCTATGTCAAAGAAATCCTCGATTTCAAAATAGGTCCCTCCCGCCCGACGAGTTCCTCTTGTTGTTATGCGTTTTCTCAGACATGCTGCGACATGGTGGAAACAACTTAAAACCACTAGTTCTCGCACTGGGTAAATTCCCATCCAGTCATAGGATAAGTTGACTAAGCATCTGCGTCAAACGTTTTTACCACACAATTATGAGCGCACCATGTATACAAGAATTCAGAATCTCGTAGTGTAGACGAATATGCAGAAAACTCCGCACTGCTCTTAACTTGTAATGAGATTAACGACAGCCAAATTCAACTAATTTGGCGTTTTATAGGAGGTCTCCGGCCACAACTTCAAACGGCGATGGCCTAATTCGATCCCTCCACGATCGGAGAAGCTCAACGTCGTGCAGCGTCTTTTAAACAATAATCACGGTCGTCTACCTAGAACTCGCCATCATCACGCCCGCATTCTCAAGACCAAGCCTCCAACACCACTCCTTCTATGGCCATGCAAGAACCAGTGGATGCTGTAACTTCGGCCAATAAACCTTCAGCACAAGAAGAGCAACAACCATTGAAGCATCTTCATCCGGTGACCAGTTTGATACCACCATTGGAACTTCTGCAATATTCCACATCCCTCACCTAACAACTTTGCTTATGATCTTCTCATTTGTGACTATTATTCTCATCGTCATAACATCCATTTCATACACATCAAGCATCTGATTTTTATCCCCAAATGTCCAGATCTTGTTCACAATCATGTGTACTTATTCTACGTGAAGACCTGTTTCTAGGAACCTTGCAATAACAAAGTCCTCCAATAATGGATTAGCTTTTTCAATGATTTCCGATGGCACCTCCACTGATTTTTTCAATGATACTGATATCTCAAACTCGTATTTCTTCAAAACTTTCTCTTATTGAGCTACTGAGATCCATGATTCCTTGCTTGATTGATCAAAGGTGCATGATCCGTCAGAACCTCCTCCGAAGCCATCTCTACTGCCTGAGAAGACAGCGGAGATCGAGAATGGTCGATCGCCTTTCTCGTCGCCAAAATTGCATTTCCGTCAAAACAATATATATAGCAAACATTACCATGTGTTATATTTTTAATTTTTCAATTTTCCATGAGAGCCTAGGGGTGGACATTTTGGTTTAATTTCGGATTCATTTTGTGTTCGGTTTGGTTTGATTAATTAGGATTTTATAAACTCCACCCAATCACAACCGAAGTAGTTGGTTTACTTTGGTTCAGATTTAGCTTGGTTCGGTTTGGTTTAGATTTAGTTCGATTCACTTTATTACGGTTTGGTTTGGTTTGATGTAGTTCGGTTTGGTTTGATGTAGTTCGGTTTGGTTATAATATATGTTGGAATTGGTTTGATTAAAAAATAATTAATCTGTAAAAGAGATTATGAAATATAAACTTTGTTAAGTAAAATTCTTTTATTAAAATAATGTATCCAAAAACTAGAATTACAAACATTAAATTTATCTCTCAAATAAAATATGGTTCAACAGAAAAAATAACTAAGTTAAGAAAAAGGTAGATTAAACTTTAACTAAAATTTTTTACATATATATTTTCATTATTTAACTAATAAAAACATATAGGTTATAAGTTTAGTTGGTTTAAAACTGAACCAAACCAAATCATTCAGGTTGAGTAAAATATGAACAAATCGGGTTGAATAAAACACGGTTGAGTACAACATCAACTAATTGGGTCATGTAAAGAAAAACGGTTTGGTTTGGGTCGGTTTGACTTCGGTTGATTTGGTTTGGTTCGGTTTGGTTTTTTCCCACCTATGATGAGACTCTGTCTTTAGGTTTAAGACACAAACTCAGTAGCTACATTTATGATGCTTTTCACTTCAAAATCTAACGCGCACTCTCGTTGTGGTCCCACCACATCTCTTAAAGGATCCACACCTAACCTAACCATGGTTAAACACAACCTTTCCATTGAGATTTAAATATGAGACTTTAAATATCCTCAGATTCTTTTTTTTTTTCTGTCAACAAATATCCTCAGATTCAACCCTTATTTTATTTTAGTTTCCTTCTTTATTAACTTTAATTTCTTTATTTGCTTCAGCAACATTCGTCACTCTCTTCATGTCATTTTCTTATTTTCCTAATAAAAACGAATAAAGTTGAGTATAGATTATAATATACTAATAAATAAGAATACTTGTTTTAAAAAATAAGAATAATAAATAATACTACTAAATCTCCAAAAGCTCAAGAGCCTTTTAACTTATCTTTTTCTCTTCTTCTCCCCTCTCTCTAACTCATATTCCATAGCCTCTCAAGTCTCCAGCTTAAAACCCAAACCCTAAGTTTCTTTTTGTTTTCATTTTCGGGGAACATTACTGATGTTGTGAGCTGTGATGGATATGACGACCCATCCAACAATAACAGCTCCTCCTAAATCACCCGAACCAGAACCAGAAACTCCGACCCGGATCCAACCAGCCAAACCCATTTCCTTCAGCAACGGCATCATCAAACGCTACCACCATCCTACTCTTCTCTTCACTTACAAAGAATGTCTCAAAAATCATGCCGCAGCGTTAGGTAGCCACGCGTTAGACGGTTGCGGCGAATTCATGCCGTCTCCTTCGTTTGTCTCCACCGATCCAACTTCTCTCAAATGTGCAGCTTGTGGTTGCCACCGTAATTTCCACCGCCGAGAACCAGACAACGACTCCTCAACCCCTCAACCACCTCCCTCCATAGCCGCAGCAATTGAGTATCAGCCTCACCACCGTCACCATCCACCACCACCACCTCCACCACAAGCAGCTCCCCACCTTCCTCCTAGTAGCCCTAACTCAGCTTCTCCTCCGCCAATTTCCTCCTCTTACATGCTCTTATCTCTCTCCGGGACTAATAACAACAACTTAGCTTTCTCCGGAAACAACAACCAAACCGGATCTCGTAAGCGGTTCCGAACGAAGTTCAGCCAGTTTCAGAAAGAGAAGATGCACGAGTTCGCCGACCGTGTCGGGTGGAAGATGCAGAAACGCGACGAAGACGATGTCCGAGAATTCTGCCGTCAGATCGGAGTTGACAAAAGCGTTCTCAAAGTCTGGATGCACAACAACAAAAACACCTTCAACCGCCGTGATATCCAGTTCTCCGTCGCCGGCGAAATGGATAACGGCGGTGGAGCAATCCACGCTCCGGTTCCCACCGGTGAAACGAACAATAACGGAGGCAACGAGCTTCACCACAGTGTTAGTAGCGGAGGAGGTGGGTTTGATAGTGATAGTGGTGGCGGTGGAGCTCACGGTGGTCACGTAAACGGGTCGTCGTCCTCGTGAAGTAAAGATCAGAGTCAGATTCAATAAAGAAGCTTAAGCTTTGTAGCTTTAGACTAAGCCACTCGTATTATCATCGTTAATAACTTCTACTAATTTTATTTAAAAACCTTAAGCTGTGTTTCGGTTTTAGTTTAATTTTTAGTTTTAATTAAATGTACTTTTACCACGACGTGTTGTCTCGCTTGATGAGGAATAATAGCATTGCAAGTTAAATTTTAATTAAAGTTTTATTTTATTTTATTTTAACCTTTCTTTTTTAAAACACTTTTATTCTAACTAAATCTTGCTTTCAACAAATGAACCATGAAATGTGATTTAATTTCCAAGAATTTATCTTCTTTCTAATGAAGAAACGCAAAGTTAGAAAGTCAGGTGATTTAATTACTAATATTTGTTTGTTCTCTTAGATTTAACTTTAAGAGAACTTTTCTTAATTTTATTTGTGACCAAACTACAATGTATGTGTACTATTTCTTTCTGATCGCATGTCCAAATTATTTTTATTTTATATATAAGGTTATATGATACTCCATTTTTTATTCTATTTCAAATGAACAGCCATTCTTATTAACTTTTTTTGTTACCATAAGTTTCCTCTTTAATTATGTCATTCTCATGAATTCTTCCTTATAACCCATTTTTTGTATATATACTTAGTTTTAATTACCCAGACATAAAATTTTACTTAGAGAAAATTAGTACGATTCATACTAAAGTTAGACATAACAATTATTTTATCACATCGTAGCGTGCAATATTCTATAATTAGGTTCTTGTGGCTCCCACAACTACATAATAAGTAAATAGATTCTTATAACTTGACAATATCTAAAAGAAAAAAAAACTTGACAATTTCTAAATAGGGTTAAGGCACTCATACTAATCATTGAGAGATTAAATAGTTTGACAATTAAGAATAACTTTCCATTTGAGGAAGCGTAGGGATGAGTATTGAAATGTCGGCTTTCACAATAAAAGAATAAAATATAGTTAAGATTAAGATATGGTGTCTCCATACGGGTTGTTTACAATAATTTAAGCAATAAAACTATGTTTATAGTATTTGTTTTTTTAATATTGTTTGTCAAAGTCACATATACCTTTCCGTATTGTTTGGTAGGGTCAAAACTTTACAGAAGCTGAGGTTATGGCCCTAACTGCCATAGACCATGTGCACCGCTTGTTAATTATATTTTTATCCTCGTAACGTAATAATTTAGCCATCAATACATATTATCGAAACAAAACGATATAAGTAGCGATAATAATAATACTCATTTTTTCAATTTAGTTGTTATTTTCGATTTTTACACACCGATTAAATAAATATTTAATTTTATATACTTTTTTAAAAAAAACACAATTATTTTCACCTAATCACATTTCAACCAATAAAAAATAGCATAATTAATAACATTAATAAATTTTATACTAAAATTATAAAATGATACTTGTTTTGAAACAAAAGATTTACTCAAATTGAAACGAGAATAGTTTCTTCCACGTAAAATCTATTTAAAAAATGATTTCATCTTTTTACCCAAAACCCAAACATTTTAAATATTTTTTTCTAATAAATCTTGTAAATAGTTTCTTCTAACGCAAATTCAATTTAAGCAGTCAAAGACACTAACACTCCCTTTATCACTAGACTAATTCGATGTTGATTTTTTTTAAACATTTTATTTCATTCCTTATCAAAAGAAAATATCATATTTAGAAATGAGATTTTAACAATAATTTTTTTTTTTAGAAATGAACATATATGTCACAAAATAATAAATAACATACAGAACTATATAGTTACAATTTACAATCAAGACTACTTCTCAGAGTTTAAGAAATAAACATTTACTAAAAAAATTAATAATTCTTTTGAAAAACTTGAAAAATATAAAACTATACATAGAACTTTTTACAATTTGAAAACATCGGTTTTGATTATAATACATACAAATAACAAGCTATAATGTTATAAATTTTATTTGATGTTTTTTTGTATGTTGTTTTTTGCATGAACACATACATTCTAATGAAGAAAAGCAGATCTAAATTCTTTTGTAAATTAAATAGTAATAAACAGTTTTATCTCGTAAATTTGATATACTGCTGAGAAAAGAATGTCACTCTATTTGATTTTCATAAAACCATGAAAAGGGCTCAACGTAAAAAAACAATTTATTTTTTATTCATATAAAATACGTTTTGTTGATGGGGTTCTAACCAATGTTTTTAAACCCGACCGAACACTAAACATGATATTTTGTCGGGTCATTGGTTACTGGGTCAACCACCATCAATACGTTAATTAGTTTTAATAAATAATTTCTTATATATTATTTGTGAAGAAGTTTTCACATGTGTCATAACCACAATCAGTTTCACCAAACAAATGATGACATGTCCACTAATAATATAACATGACTTGAAGTTAATTGTGACATGTATATTTACATTTAATGTTAATATATTTTTTTGGTGTTTTAGAATATAATAATAACTCATAAATTATCATTAACATAAAAATAAATAATATAATAATAAAAATATAAATATAACAATATTTACAAATTTTGAAATATTTTTCAAGTCTATCTTTTATAATTGTATGATTTTTATTAATAATCTTTTTGAAAAAAATTATGCGGGATTTTATAAAATTATAATTTTCTAATCAAAATACAGTTAGGTTTATTTATAACGCCTATAAATTTTAGAATTATTGTTTAATTTATATTTTGATAATTATATACCTAACAAAACTTTCTCATAATTGTATAGAATCTAATTTAAAATATTTTAACCAAAATAAAAAAGATAAAAAAATCTTTCGAAATTTTAATTTTAAATATATAAATATATATTATTAAATATAAATATAAATATTTATTTTTATCTTATCTTAATTTTTACATATAATTAACGTATAATTAATAATGTAACAAAATAATAAATTTAAAATTAACTAAATTTTATTTTTAAATATAATTTTACTTTTAAAACTTTTATTTCTGCACATGGTGCAGGAAAACACCTAGTTATGTATTAACTATTAAAAATATAAGAGAAATTTCATATTTCTTAAAACATAGAAAATATTTAAATTTGTTTTATTTCACATATAAAATATTTAAAATTAGATTAGACTATTTAACAATTTCATATAAGAAATTAGGAGTTGAGACTTATAGTAAATCATAACAAGACTTAAATTTCATAAGTTTTAGATATCTATCATTATTCAATATATTTTCTTTAAGAGGCATAATGCAATGTTCATCAAAATCAATAAATTTTTTAGTCTGTATTATATATGATTTTTCAAAATTTAATAAGATCAATAAATATGATTAACAAAACATTATTTATTTATAAACATGTAAAATCAAGAAAATAAAATAAAAGCATGTGATTAGAATAAAAATGAATTTTAAACGATAAAAGTTAGAAGCTAGAAATTAAAATCAAATGTTATTTACCACATACGAAATCAACAAAAGTTTAAAAAAAAATTGAAGGAGATATAGAGTATATCAGTATATGTGATAGCACGAAAAACAATAATTTTATGAGAAAAGAAAAATAAAAAAATAAAAATCTAACTTATTATTTTGGGTACACAAAAAGTATTTAATAAAATAGTTAAAAACCTAACAAAAACTAAATAAAAAAACTCATTGGTTCACCCGATGGTTTAACCGATAGCCGGGTCATCGGATTTAAGGGTTTTTAGCGGATTTTCTAAGATTTTTATTAGTTGATATTTCTTAAAACCCAAACCGGATTACTTATCGGGTCACCGGATTTAGTGGTCGGATCGCGGGTCCGGGTCGGACATGAAAACACTGGTTCTAACTAATTAAGAAAATCAACAAGGAAATAGTTGTGTCAGAAGAGTTATTTGTTTTGGAAGTACCATAGCCTAGTGGTTAAGGTTTAAGCTTCTACACCAGATCTGGGGTTCGAATTCCAGGCTACGCAGTTTCTTCACCAAGAGGGTTTCAATTATTGGAGAAGGTGAACGGCGAATAATACAGATTTGAGAAAAAAGTTTACTTCAGTATGGCGCAAGGCGTACTATCAGGAATAGGTCTCATAGGACGGCTCAAGGTGATGCAGTCAGACGTGAATCCGCATAAAGCAGGTATAATTGTCGGTTGTAATTCTCATAGTTTGTAATACATAATTATCCAATATTAAAAAAAAAAAGAGTTATTTGCAGGCGAACCCCTTAGAACACCTCTATTTTTGATATCAAAACAAGTATCTCACTAATACCAAAGATACAAAAACAAAAAGTTGGAAAGATAAAGAAGAGAAATATCTGTGCACATGTGTTTTTAGGAAATGATCAAGTCAAATGTCCATGTTTGATTTTTCAAATTATTTCCAAACAAAACTAAAATATTATGTTAATATAAAATCTGACAGATACTTATTTGGAGATATTATTCAATCATGTTGCTCTTAGATACTTCAGTACATATGTCATTCTTTAATTGAGTTATCTTTTTTTACAAAACACAAACACTGAATACTTAAACATTATCAAAGTATTAACATTTTAATTACTAGGAACCTAAGAGCACCATTATTGGGAGTGCTTAGGAGATATGTTTAGGTTTTTTATAATTAAAAAAATAAATCATAATTACGTTAAGCAACAGCGCTTAATTAAGACACAGAAGCAACTGTGCTTGTTCTTCTCTCTCTTTCTGGAAAAACAAATCCGACCAAATTTCAGTCATGGAGACACAAATCGATTTCACCCACACATACCTTTCTTCTCTTTTGATACTGAATCAACCAATAACGTCCTCGTCCCATCGTCTCACTTCACTTCTCCTCTCGTCGTTCATCTGCAATGTCTTCCATCAGAAAGAGCACCAAGAGAGCACGCCCGGAGCCGCTGCTTCAATCGCTCAAGAAGCAAACACCGAACGAAAAACTCCACGATGATTTGGATATCGATGTTTCCAGTTCTGTTTCTTTCTTCGTTTCTTCTAATTTTAACTTAGATTGTGACTCACCATTGATTTCTGTGTGGATCGTGCAACGATCTCAAAGGAATCATGTTGGCGTTGCAGAAAATCAGAGAGAAAGCGCATGAGGAAAGCCGTAAGAAGAAGAAAGAGCATCTCCAGGTGATTCATCTTATCTCTTTCACTGATTAGTTTCTTTCCGATTTAGTTACAAAGTGTTCGACG